TTGGGCCAGAGACTAGAGGAGGTGTAGGTAGGTCCAACTTCTGTTTCTAAAGAGAATTGCCACAAATGGTTGAAAACTAAAAGGTGTGATTATGTTCTAGTAGCCTGCATGTTGATGCTACATTTTTGCAGCTTGAAATACCAAGTGCGTTTTTACTTCTGAAGTATTGTTCTGAGCTGCGGGTTTGTGTGCCTGTATGTTTGGTAAGCATAGGTTGACAACGGAGATTGACAGACAGAAGGACATCAGGTCAGACATGGGCAATGGGGCAGTAGGTTGACAATACATGGACAAAGGGCATGCATATGGGAAGATTGACAGAAGAAGAAGGTTTACAGGAAATGGGGAGAACTTGAAGGTCATTAAAACTAAAAATACTTACTTGTGACCACCCTGTGATTGTGTGTGTGTCCGTGCACAGGTGACCCATGTATAAGACTGTGCCAGGAAGCTGAACAGTTACTGCTCAGATCTTGCCATGTAGAAGCAGCAGGTGACCTGGCCTCAGCACTGTGTCTCTGCACCACAGCCATTGGTAAGCATTTATTTCAAAATAAAGGACTTTATATAATATTCTATGGCAGTATTGTGTGGTCAGCAGTTCACTTGCCAGGTCAGAGGTCAGTGTTTGGAACGGAACAGAGAAAACGTAGCAAAAACAATAATTTTTTTTTTTTGGTAGACATAATTACTGATCCAAAACTATGTGACTAAAAAGCTAGTGTTAGCAAGATTGTGTGGTTCTAACTGTGTACTATTTCCAGCTCGCCTTCAGACTGCAGTAAACGTGGCCGGATCCAATGCCCAGTCCCTGGCATACGCCAAGCTGAAGTACGACACGTGCATGATGCGGTCCCGCAGTCTGCATCGCCGACTCCTCATCCGCAGACAGCACTCCTCTCCGGTGGAGGAGCATCGCACCAACTGGAACGACAGCTTGGACAACGTTGTCAAGTAAGGGAAACGTTTCACCAGTTTGCTCAGTAGCTATATGTACGTGTATATGCACTCATTCATTGGCTAACAGTCCTTGTGTCAAAAAATGGATGGCAGCCAGAGGCAGATTCAAATAACCCCACCCCAATTTCTGTTTGAAGTTCATTCAAGATATTTACACTTAGTGTATGGTCAGACCCTGTTTTTCATGCATGTCTTAAATGTGGTGTCCTCATGTATTTGTGTAATACTATGTAATATGTTGTCCTGGACATTAATTTTTTCTGAAAAAAAAAAGGACCAAAGCTGTTTTAAAGTCATTTTAAAATCCAGGTTTACATCATTTGATGCGAAATATTTAAGAAAAATTCAGCATACAAGAGCCTGACAAAAGTTACCTAAGAAAACTAAGCATGCTTAGTGTTTAAACTGTCCTTACTAGCAGTCACTAATGCTTGCAGTTGTTTGGCAGTGACTGTACTTGTGATCAGTGTGATGTCCTTATCTCAGTGTTGCCCCCTTTTTTTTCTGTTTGCCTGCATGAGCTACATTTGTATGGATTCAGATGAAAGTGTTTCAACTATGGCATGTGGATTGTCTTTCTACAGGACTAATTTGGAAGAAGAGAACCTCTAGATGTACTAATATTATAAATATTTATCATCAGATCCTTTGCCTCCTTCATCACCAAGGCTCCTTTTCCACTAGATATTGATCGCTGAGCGACCGTTGAGCAACAAAAAATTGGATTTGTAGTTCTATAATTGGAATGTGAAACACAATATGAAAGTATGACTTAGAAGACAACAAAAAAAAGCAAAACATAAATTAAATTATTTGTTCTTTCGGCCACAGCAAGTAATTTTTATGGATGACATCATTAATTTTCGCCTGATTTAGGGGGAAAAATTTTGTTCCCCTCTGATAGTGATCAACATGCCGAAAATGGGCAAAGATGCCATGCCAGAGCATGGATGACAGATAAATATGAAGAGAGGAGACAAGAAAACTGATGTACTGTTTTGTATTCTACTTTGATGCAGTGATATGTGATGGTGACTGTGTATTAGTGATGTTCCCACTGAATCAAAACCATAAATATACAATGATTGAGTCAAAATTTGAAAATGCAAGAAACTTGCTTTTTTTTTGGCAGGCCTTGTTTTTTTCACCCGCTAACATCAGATTTTGAGTCTGCAGAGGATGTCATCCATAAAATTTACTTGCTGTATCCTTTGAAAATTTGTGAGTGACCTGTTTGGTTGCTTGGCAGTCGCTCAGTAGTCACAGCCTCTAGTGGAAACGGTGTGTAAGAGAGGTGCTGTTTGAACCTCAGATACGTGTTGGGGATGCAATATTTTCAGACTATGGCATGAAAGCTAGATGGAAACAAACTTACATTTTTTTGTGCCAAATATGATTGCAGATTTCATTTTCAAATGGTGTATGGGTCCTTGTAGATAACATGCTGAAAACTAAGAAACAGATTTATAAAGTGATAGATGAAACAACTTTCATTTGATGTCAACTCATAATCATGTTTATTTACTAGGCACTATAGTATTCTGAATAACATCTTTCATGTTCACATCTGTCTATATGTACACTCTGTAACATCATTTTCCTTACTTGATCAAAATGGCACTGTTTTCAACTTGTAGATTACACGGAACACTAAGTAAGCACCAGCACATTCGTTTTTATCATATTTTAAAAATGTCAAAACCGACACAAAGAAAGACTTGTAATGCCAGATGGTAAGTCATCCATTTTATCGTACCAAGTCATACGGTAACATGTATTCTGCTGGAGCTGCAATAGGTAAGGAGATGTGTCTTCCTGGGAGCCAAATTTCTTTTCAAAGTTCTGGCCGTGGAAAAGAAGTGTGGCTCTCCCAGGGGTTTTCTTTCTCTTTTCTGACTTGTACTTTCCCTCCCTCTGCCACTGTGGATTAGGAGTTTGCTGGGGATAGGCATGAGTTGCATTTGGTAAGACGTGATGGTTGTCCTCCCTTCGCAGTAGATGTAGCAGTTTCTTATTGCCAGTGAGGCTGCAAGATCCTAAAAAGCGACCTTGTTTTGCAATCTCAAGAACAAGTACATGTATTTTATACTAGCAAGAATTGTTTGCAACTTTGCTCCCTCCCAGTCCACATCCCACTGTGTTTTCCTCTTTGCTCCGTAATTCCTTCTTTTACATGTTAACTCTTCCCAGAATTATTAAGATACATGTATAGAAATTGTATACACAATCATGCACAATGTTACGAACTTAAGCCAAAAGCCCCTGGATATAGAACTGAATTGTTTGCTCATAAACAACAGAATCTTCCTGTCAACTTTAAAGTTTCCCATTACAAATACCAAAGAGCTGCTATAGGATGTTGAATTTGGAGCAGCCTAAATACTGTGTTGTATAAATAACATACATCTAGCAGTCCTGCATTCCATTACAGTGTATACCTACATATGGCTGTGTTCAAATTAGCTTTGTTGTAGGACCTGTTATCAGACCCAGAGCCTTTGGTGACTGCTTATTCAATATAGTGCGCATCAATGTAAATTTGTGCCTTTAAGGGTGCACTGGAAACTGACATTTTTTGCTGTTCTATGTTGAAAGGTTTATCACCCATACTTGGTAGCCATACCTAGGCAACCTAGGTTATATTGGCCAAAGTGTTTATGTGTGTTTGTGTGTGAATGTGTGTGTGAACTGGGATACTGTTGCTGTCGCCAGAAATTCGTGTTGAACATTCTTGTTTGAGTCCTTATGAGACTGCCTAATAAGAAACAGAAAATAATCCTTAAGATCCTACTTTCTAAACAGCAAGGACGAACAAAAGTAAATCTGTAATACTATCTTGTTACAATCAGGTGAGGCTAGTCATGGGGTTTTGGCATCTTTACTGATATGTGTGTTGCCCCGTATGTTCCACTGCAGCAGCACCAACCTGAGCCCTACCAACAGTCCAGACAGCATGTACACCCGAGCCAACAACCGCCCGACGGAGGTCCCACCAGATCTCATTCAGCTGGAGGACCAGCGGCCAAGCTGCCAGAACGTGCTGCAGCAGAAAGTGCGGGAGCTGTACCTACAGAAGGGATACGGGGGATACAACAACCTGCAGGCACAGAGACACGCGCAGATGGCTGCTGCAAGAGTGCAACAGGTCAGGATTCCATTAGTAGTAAAAGCACCCATTTGAACAATTTCTTTCAGAAGTAAGCTCTGTCACATTTGTTGTACAGTCACAAACTAAGCATATTCTAGGGACAGTTGTGCATGTATCGCACAAAATTCAACTGTCTTGTTATCAATAAGGCAGTTGCTTCCTTGTTGGTTTTGGTACAACGGCCTGCAACAAATGTGACAAGGAAGAGTACCCTCCTGTCTTGCTAAGAATAAGTTTCTTTCTTTTGCATGTTTCATCTTTGCATGATAAAGTTTGGTTTTAGTATCATCATATTAATTGTTGGGTGTTTAATTTCTCATCCTAGACAACAGTAGGGCAGCAGGCATGGCACGTGGAAATCAACCACAGTACGATGTAGCTTTTAGTCCTCATTTGGTGGTTCTACCTTTTTCTGCGGACTTCTTCCGGGAGCTGAAGTACATGATGCAAGTATCAGTGTACCATTCTTTACCTGGCCTCAGATTCAAAACCACACAAGTACGAATGTGAACAAATCACTTCAACCCAATGCTCAGTTGGAGCTATTCAACATAATTCCGATGCAAAAAAGTCATAATCAGCATGATTCATTCAGAGTCCAACTAAACCAACAGAACTAGAATTGTGCTACGGCAATATTTAAGGTTGATAATGATCCTCTGTTGCAGGTGCCAAGAGGAGCTGCAGTACCGGCAGCAGCAGCTGCTACTCCAGGGGGCGCTGTAGGTGGAAGTGTCCAAGGTGCAGCTGGAAACGTGGGAGCACAGTTTGCAAGGAGCAGCCCGTCTCCTCTCACCAGAACCCGCAGCATGGAGGACACCAGGAGGGGCAGCCGACCTAAAACACCCGAACATTTTTATTCCAAAGAGGAGAGACAAAGACTGGAGACAACCAACTCCAACTACGTTGTTTTTCCCATGAAGGGACAAGCAGTGCGAGGACAGCGGGCACCAGCCGAGGGCGGAACACCGACCGGGGAGGGTCCGAGTTCACAGAAAGATGCCCAGGGACAGGGGCTGCAGTATAGAGACCCCAGACATAGAGCAAAGCTTCGCCATCTCCAAAGAAGACATTCACACCATGAATCCATGCAGCCCAGGGTGGCAGACGATCAAGGTGTCCCCGTACGACCTCGATCCAGAACACCCGAACTCTCTCCCAGGGCGCAGCCTAGAGAGGATAACAGGAGATCCAAAACTCCCACCCCGGGGGGAAATGACCCAGAGGAACAGACAGATGCCTCACGCACAGAGGCGGTCAAAGACACCGACCCCCGGCATGGTGGAGGGAACACGTCCCAAAACAACGGAACAGTTTTATGAGTCGAGAAGACCTCCACAGGGCCTTCCCAGACCTCGGCCTGTGGTGCCCAATGGGCCAGTCATGCGCAGTAGCATCCAAACACGTCCCCCTGATGGCATCCAAGGCCTAGGTGAGCATCCCAGGCCAAGCCAGAGACAGAATGTTCTACATGCAGTCCAGGTGGGAGGCAACGGACCGAGTGCGTTCACCACTAATGTTCCTATCTACACCTCTGGCAGTCAGAGACAGAATGAACAACCCATCTATGTGTCCATTGATCACAGCCGTGGCAGGCCTGTAGCCCAGGCTGCAGCTGAGCAAAGACGGGGAAGGGACCCCAGAAGAAGGGATCGAGACCATATCCCAAGTAGTGCAACTCATTATGCAGTTTATGGAGCTACCAGAGAGCAATTGCTTCAGTCTCACCCAGACACAGACAGGCCAAGTCTTGGTGGAAGACAGGCAGGTGAAAATCAAGCTTCAACTGCCAGGGGGCAGCTGAGGTATGGGGAAGGACAACTCTATGGTCAACAGCTGCCCAGTAGGCAGCCAGAGGGAGCTGAGGGAATGGCTGGGATGTCAACAGACAAACGGACCGGTAGTGCTGGTAGTTTGAGAAACATTAGTAAAGAGCTTGGTGCTGGCAATTATGGGAGTGCTTCAAGAGGAGCACCAAGACCAGAAGGTAGGCACCCAAATGAGCTGTATATGAAGATGCCAGCTGACAGAGATGGTAACACTGCTGTGTCACCAGAACAGCATCAAGGGATGACACGTGAGCAGCAGCAAGCAGCAGGCTGGGAACAGCAGCAGTTGATGAGCCAGGAACAGCAGCGTCTCATGGCCCAGGAACAGCAGCAGCTTTTGACCCAGGAGCAGCAGCAACTCATGGCACAGGAACAGCAGCGTTTTATGACCCAGGAACAGCAGCGGTTCCTGGCCCAGGAACAGCAGCGATTCATGACCCAGGAGCAGCAGCGCTTCATGACCCAGGAGCAGCAGCAGGCCATCACACTCCAGCAGCAGTGGGCAGCCCTTCGGCAGCAGCATCTGCAGCGTCTACAGAACAGACCCGAGGTGCCAGGAGGGGAGGGAGGGAGTGCAGATCAGAGTCAGGTGAGAGAACTTCAAGACTTTTTGAACTGATATTAGTTGGTTTGTCCATGTTGTTAATTCATTTGTTTGTTTGTTGAGCAAGATGTGAGCAAGATATGACTCAAATGAAACCAAGTTCACACACTTTTGTGTTACGCTTATATAATTTTCATTACATTGTTACATTTTCTGACTGCCCCTTGAATTAGATTTGTGCAGTAAAAGATGGACGTCAGATTAATTTTTAGGTAGGTCCAATAGGGTCACCTGATTTCAGCTTAATCAAAACTTTTCTTTCTGTTGATCTGCATGCCGGTCAGGAGGAGGAAAGCACCTCCCAACTTTGGTGCGCAGGATATATGAGGATATAAGGCCCACGGAGGGCCTCGGGCCAGGGCGGGCAACATCAACAGTTGAGTCAAACCGTTTGGGCAAACCTGTCCTGGTTGTGTGTAGGCCAGGAAACTTTCTTCTGTAATGGGTAGCGGCTATACATATGATGTTTTTCCTTCGTTAGCCTTCAATCTTGAACTATGCAAAACTTCTTGTGTGGTTTTGGTAGGTGGTTGGTACCTAGCTGTTTGGATTTAACGATAATAGTTTGTAAGTTATTCAGTGGAATGTTCAACAAGTTTCCAGTTCAACTTATACTCTAATAAGGAATACTCCTGCTGGACCAGTGTAACGTCAAGTCTCATAATTCTGGCACATGCCCTAAGACTGACACATTATACAATGTCATGTTAAATCCAGTCTTCTTTAAACACCTGGCTGTGATGCTGCATTACAGTACATTCACTGTTAATCAATGTTGCAGTCTTGGGTTACCCAGCAAAAGTATGAGAGTTGATGTTAAACTTTGTCACTAACTTTTCAAGCTTGTGTGATGCCTATCGAACAAAGGCTGCAGCCTTTTGCCTTCATTTTCGTCCTATTCTGGAAGATTTCCCTTGGTGTTGCGTGAAGTGGCGAGACTGTCCTCCTATACTTTTTTTTCACTGTCCAATCAACCTGTTTCGAAACTCAGACTCAGATCAGCCATGACCCAACAGACGTCATGATGGCTGATTCAAAATCTGAGTTTTGAGGCGGTTGATTGCACTGGGTGTCCTAATCACCCGTACTGTCTCCACAACACTAGCTGAAGACCCTGAAGGCCATGCAGCCGGTCTGCACAGCCGGCTCGGTCTGGCCGGACCCCGCCCTGCAGCAGCAGATGCGCCAGCTGTACGCCCAGCAGCACGCCAAGAACCTCATTGCCAGTCTGAAGTCACGCCAGGTCGGTCTGCATCAGCGCCACCAGGAACTCCTGGCTTATGGTTAGTTTTCTGTTTACTAATTATTAAGATAAAGAGACCAAGACAAACATAGTGAAAGCAAACTCAGTTACTCACTCACGATCTGGTTTAACGTCTGTGTATGTTGTTTCCCTTCTCCCGAGGGTTAGACATGCTCAACTCAAGTTTACAAAACTCATAATGTTGATGCCACCTGTTGACATGTACACAAAAGTACTTCATTAGCACAAAATGAATGAAAAAAATGATGTCGCAATATGATGCAATATGGCAAAATATGATGTAAGAAACATATATGATACCGGTATGTGTAACATACCAAGTTGAACATGGTTTTGAAAATGCAAGTCTAATCCCCACCCAATTCTGACATATCTAATGGTACACACTAAACATATATGCATTTTAATTCTTTAATCAAAGTCTCACATAATTCCTCACTTACAATGTCTCTTAATTACAAAGTGTCCTGTTTCTTTTGGTTCAAGGAGCTAATATTTTGTAGGACAGGTGCAAATACCCTTCCTCCATAATAATACATGTAACATTTGTTCTTAGAATCAGCCAATTCTTCCGGCTGGGCTATACCAAGGTTCCTTGACAGTAACCCTCTTTGCATGTACATGTATGTTTCTGTCTTTTTTGTAGAACAAATAAAACCACCCCCACCCACTGACGTTCCTGTCCATGAAGGGTTTGGAGCCCCCCTGACTCCTCCCCAGCCTACACCACCCATTGTAAGTTATCTGAGAACTGGCACAACTGCCTCAGGTGTGATGATTGTAGTAATGTCTGCCTAGTTACTGCTTAGCCTGACTACAGCACTTCTAGCTACCTTCCACTGGTGAGGCCATATTGGACTGATTTTTATAGTGATAAAGAGACCTGACCAGTCCTAATGGTAGTTTTGGGAATGGGAATGGTTCTCTCGAGTGAGAGGTGTATAGCCACAAGCTCTCAGGGAGGCTGGAGGTCCAATAAGCCGCTCACATCAAAAGAGATTTGTGTAAAACAGGCTATGCAATTGCTATGCATTCTCTTTTGTTGCCTCATTGGTAAATGAGTTGTTGCAAAACATTTACTAGATTTAAGAAGATGCCTAAGGCAAGAAACATGTGGAATATTGGGGTTTTGCACATATCATTAAATGTGTGACCTTTTCTTTTTGAACATAGCATCACCCAGAAGCTGCCGCAAAGAGACCTCCCTCTGAATCAACCACCCAGCAGCCACATGATGACATACCCACCAGTCAGCGACCGTCCATCCAGACGGCTGTTAGTGCACCTGTGCAACTTCAGGTGGTTCACTCTCCACCCACCAACATCAGCCAACAAGCGAAAATTGCAACTCAATCAACAACCCGGAAATCTCAAGTTTTGATGACAGACATTGATGAAAACCCGAGTGACACACCTGCTCGTCAGGCCCCCAGCCCTCAGCGCCCTGTCAGCTTGGTAAAAAGTCCCCAGCATCCTCCTCCAGACAACACTCCCCAAGTAAATAGTGATCTGCCTCAACCTCTTCAGAAACAAGCTAACAGCCAGACTCAACAGAGGGAAGCAGCTGTGCAAGGGAAGAAAGCTGACGGTGAGTCAGGGCCTCAGTCTCCGGTCAAACTCTTGGCCCAGAAGTTTGAAATGCGGGTTCTAGAGCAATCCAACGAGGTCCAGAGGACGGCATTGCAGCAGCAGCAGAGTAGGCACAGTTATTCTGCCTCTGAAAACACTTGTCAGTCGTCCTTCCAGAGGAACACTCCCAAATATTCCACCATGCCGAGAAAAAAGCCAGCAGAGGAACCAGCTGGACATGACAGCCGTGAGAGAGAGATGATGGCATCTCAGAGGATGCCTGCACAACCTCAAAAGATGATTGCTAAAAAACAGGTGGGGTTTTCCAAACCTGGATGGAGCACCCAGACTGCCCAGGGAAGGGTACCTGGTGTTCGCGAGCCTCGATATGACATCCCACCCAATGTTGACTGGCACGAGATTCGCTACCCGGGAACGGCGTCCGTCCATCGCCAGCCTATGAAAAATCCGCTGACCAGCGAGCTGAAGCAGCTGTTCAGAGCACGAGGTGTGGACCAGAACATGAACCCTGAACCACTGACCAACGGTGGGATAGGAGGGGCAAGTTCCTCATCTTCCCAGCATTCCACGCCTTCCCATGAGTCCCAGCCCCCCTCCCCACATCGTCCTACATACATCAGGTGCCACCTGTGTCAGAAAGTGTATGTCGAGCACCCACGCATTTACTGCCAATCATGTGATGCCTACATGTCTCGCTTTAGACCTGGAAAATAGTTCATATGAATCTCCATAACACCAAGGAATCAAAGAAGTAAGAAAATTGATTTACCATTGCCATCGTGTTACAATTCTTCTACTACATAAAACCACCAATGCTGCAGACTTTCAGGAGTACTTCAATCCCTATATTGCTGAAGGAAAAGGCAAAAGCAGTGCTGCAAGAAGTGTTGAGCTTCATCATACATGTACCTGTAAATACAAAGTACTTACGAACAACTGCATTGTGGTCAGCTTATACTGTCATCCCTATATGAACAAAGATGCTACAATATGTCTTGCCAACTTTTCTGGCCACATCCAGCATTGAGGTATCCATGATCATGAGATCCTAGTTGCCATGTTGAAACTGTCTTGTCAGCAGCTCTGTGTATCTTGCCAACAACCATAGTAAACTCTACCGTTACAGTGTATCAGTTATATCTTAAAAACAGGGCATGAAGGATCGTAATACCAAAAGTATTGTGACATCATCACCACATACACAGAAACACCTCTGTGGTGCCATAGAAGTAGCAGTTCTGGCCAGAAGTTACGGCTATATCAAAACATGCTCTGTCAATTTGAGGCAAGTTCAAATTACATGACATGATCATCTTGATGCGTTGTAGCCTGATGCGTGAAGTATGCAGTAAGTCACGCAGTTAAAATTGATGTACGGTGAATATAAGAAGATATCTAAAGCCAGGCTTTCTGCAATAATGAAAAGTAGTAAACCATGTGGAATTCACCAAAGACCATTTCCATACATTATAGCCTTAGTATGGCAGATTACATGGCGTTATGTATGTCTGTATATTGTAGTTTACGAATGTAAATATATGGTATCCTTTCCATACATGGTAGTTGACATTTCCATATATGGTAAGCATCACCTCCACATATAGTTATTACCATTTCTATATATGGTAGTCATTCATAAAGGGCTTAGAGGGTTCTCACCACCAGTGAAAGTGCCTAACAAAGACGTATTAACTGTACGATGATCATATTAACTAGAGATGTCCATATATCCAAGAGCATATCTAAAGTATATTCAGAGAAGACAACTATGGTGTAGGTATCTTGAAGCATGTGAAATGCAGAATATGTACTAAAATGAACCGGAAGCCTTAATACATGTATCTGAGTGTGTGCCAACATGTTGAAACTCCTGGTACAAAACAGAAGACTAGGAGACCAGTGGAGATAGATACTAGTAGCTGCTACAAGTGTGTCCACTGAGTACTTTGGGAAATGATACTGGGTGGGACCAATCAGAGACAGAACATATAAATCACTTATCAGTAATAGCTTTGATAGACAGTAATTAGATTAACAACTGAACAAATAGGTACTAAAGTAAGTATTTACATCTTGTGACAGTGATCTTGGTGTATTAGTATTGTCCCCCAAAAGAACACATTGCCATTCTATCTGATGTAAAGTACTGTTTTCTATAGAATATCATTATAAGTAGAGAAAGATGCAGTCACAGAGAGTTCTTGTGTATACACAAAAAGGAAGCCATGGTTGTTAAGCTCAGGTAAAGCAAGAAGGTGTGTAATGGGTTCAGGTGTTGTGCCATCACTTACATGCAATAGTGTTGTTGTTACATGCATCTTACCGGTATCAATTTTGTTTCCGATGTTCTTAAAAGCAAACTATAATGTTAAGAACTACTGTCCGTGACTTACATGGTAATGTAACTGTTACTAGTATACATCATTGCTTTCTTATGGCTGAGAACAAGTCTTTGAGTACCACAATATGTGGTGTAGGATGTGAGTGAACTGATGAATGAAATTTCAGAGAAATTTGCACCATTAGGACTAGGCATGCTAGTGTAACATCTTGAACTTTGAATAGAAGTCAGCTTAAACACAGGTCTAGACTTAGTCTATTTGTTTCAAAAGACCAGGGCTAAGTAGACTAATGATGGCTGGGTGTAATGTTATGTAAGGGGTGCCAAAGAAACGTGAACAAGGGAGGATGATAGAGGAGAGTTTGAGAATGATGAGATTCTTGGATGAAAGTATTACATGTAGGCATTCCCCTTTACCTTTTTAAGGGAACCATCTTGAATGTACTAGATCAAGATACAAGAAATAAGCTGCTATGGTGTCAATAGCCACCACCTACATGTACTACAACACCATGCATACCAATGACTGCAATAGGCAGCAAGTTCAGCTCTTCTTGGATATTCACTGCCAAAGTAGACAAAGCCGTGGGTGATATGTGGAATGTGTGTAACGTTACCACAAGGCATCATCCTTGATCCACTGCTAGGACTACCATGCCAGTAACTAGTAAATTGAGGCTTTGTCCATTATCTATAATAGGGAAGTTAGATGTGCAATTTTATTTATATATCATATTTACCTATTTTGTATATTGTTAGCACTTTCAAATGCCATTGGTTTCATGTACATGTAGTTACTATTTGTCATTCCACTAAAGAATTATACGTCATTATCTTGCCTATGGGGCTTAAAACAACTTATTTTGTCAGTTTGCTAGACTTTGACATTGCATTATTAAGTATGGGAGAAATATAATATCTAGGGTGAAGACATTTCTTTGAGTTGGTGTAAGAACAACAGTATACATTACACTGGCTGTGAAGCAATAGAAGTTTAACTGTAATAAAGTAAAGTGTTTTTCCATTCTGACTCTTGCTTGTTTTTTGCTGAGAATTCAGTATACAGTTACATGTATCTGCATGTATGTGCCAATATGATAATTTATGATATGATTATTAGACAGTGTATCATTAGTGCATGTGCCGTCTTCAGTGCATGGTGAAGCCTTAGTAGATGAAGCCAGGCTGCAGGAGAAAGATCCTGGGTTGTCCCTGCAGTTCATACCATTCAGACAGGAGGCAGTGCTGTACAACCTGTTTGAATGGAAGCAGCCTGGCTGGAACAAATGGCCACAAATGCCAAAGAATCTGCTGCATGATACTTGATGCGATGTATCATTGTGACTGTTCTTTGTATAACAGATGTTGCAAGTCTGAAAAGTCTGGTCTCATGTTTCTCCAAAGAGTTTAACCTCAAGAGTTTAAAATCAAGAATTTTGTAATGATTTTATTAATAACCTCATTGGTTTCTCTTCCATTTGATGTGTAACGTTATATTTCTTTTAAACGATTTCACCTAGCTATCAACGTTGGCATTATGGCCAACTACGTTAGTAGTATCATGCATTTACGTTTGAGGTCAAAGTTTTCGCGCCAAATGCTAATATGACATTTTCGCGGAATGATATCAAAAGAGCTAAACAAAAGATTCGTGACCCTCGTAAATTATGATTTATCTCGAGATACGACTGTCGTAAGCAACCATAATTCCATAGGTTAGTGCAATATTTCTATCTTAGGTAGATTCGAATATCTTTCCCACCTTATTTCCTATTATTTTGTGGGACTACTTCTCTTAGCGGACGCAGAGAAAGGCGTTACTTGTCCATTAGTAAACAAGCACTTCCCGTAGCAGACAAATAGCACAAGTTTTTTTCTGTCAGTTCCGTCAAAATTAGAAGTTATGTCGCCTCATCTAGCTCACTAGTTCATTAAACAGGTAAGCCTTATTTGTTTTCGTAGATTTTAGTGCTCACGTGTTACACCTTTCAATAGCAGATGGGATTTTAGTGCCGTCTTATCGTCTGTTGGTGGGGGGGGGGGCATTTGTTATTCGCCTGCAGACATTTTGTGTGTTCCTTTTTGCTCCATTCTTCTATCCTAGGGATACTGTGCGACGACTTATGGAGCTGCTATCTTGTCTCTAGCATTTCCTCAGCTCAGATTTACTTGCAGGAAAGCTGCAAGCACGTCACATCAGTGATATTACTGATAACGATCAACAAACAGGTGTCCAAGATTTCCAACACAGGAGACAACAATTTTCAAGCATGTCCATTGTCCACTGGTTTATTCAGGGCTCAAAATACACTCAAATACATTTCTTATGTTTAATAGTGCAAAGTTGGAAGTTGTCAAAAATTCTACTCGGGGAACTTTACGCAAATACAGGAGGGGCTGCATGGGGGGATCCTGGCAAACCTTAACCAACTTTACAAAAGATTGTCAGATAAACCAATCTATATGTTAACGTTATAATCTATAACGTTACATGCTATGTCCTTGAATGATATAACTTTTCTCCTGGAAGTTTTTGGGAATAAGTTCATTTGATTGTTACCTAAATTTATATACAAGGGACTTAGGGTTGACTGACAAAATTAGTCAGTGAACACTGACACAACAGTGCACTCCATATTTTACATATCAAATACTAGTAATGCTTTCCTGTCCATTCTTTACAATGTGTTGTCCTGACTACAGTACATGATTGCAACAATTTCATTTTTGTGTGTGAAAATATGCATGGTTAAATGTTACAATGCTACCTGACCCAAATGTTAATCCACATCTACATCCTCTAACACAGCTGCTGGGATACAATTTTGTGACTCAAATCTATTCATGTAATGTTTACTTCTGTTACATCGCACTCACTCGGCCATTCACTCATTTCTGAATCTTTGCCTTTGGCCATTAATTTCTTTGTGTTCTACTGTGTATTGTTTCCTGCAGATTAGATAGGTATGGAGGGCAACACAGAGAGCAGTTCTTTCTCCAAAGTACCAAGGTAAGGTATCAGGAACTTTTATAAATTATATCATCATCCTTTGTATACATACAATGTATTTGTGTCATACTGATACACTCAGTCTGGTATTTTCAAATTGGACATCCTTGAAAACCATTTTAGGTTCATTCTTTTGTTGTGGGTTGAAAATCCTGCCCTGTTTGCTGCTCTTTTAGGGAGGAACTGCTCTCCAGACTGAAGACCTACAACTTGTACCACTCTGAGAAAGGCAGCACTGTGCAACTCAGGTCCACACAGGTTAACAGTCAGGTGGGCAATTATCTGATGTAGTAATACTATTTAAACTTGCATTATCCCAGACATTGGTGAAAATGATCTTCTAGATTTGAGAAATGCAAAAAAAAAAAAAAAAATTGGTGTAACCTATTGTTTTGCTCACTCAGGTACAGATGTTCAGGTCTAAATCTTTACCAAAGTAATTTTACTGGTAACGTTACATGTATTGGGTACACAGCCCTATAATACTAGTAGTAATCATGTTTTTCTCTTAATCCAGGATGGAGACAACTTGGCAGTAGAAGGGATGTTGAAGATCTATTGGGATGTGAAGAGACCTATCAGACTAAAGAAAGATGACGAGTCTTTTCCACAAAAATCTCCTCCTCCCAGAGTTCAACCAGGCTTGGATAACTTGGAGAAAAGGGTTAATGCGCCTGGTCTCTCCAGGAGTGGTCCCCTGCGCAGCAGATCATACAAAGCAGGTAGGCAAAGCTACCTGGTTCAAACTACTCGGTGCATATGCACTTTTGTGCACCCAAAGTTACTGCTGTGCTATAAACTTTGTAACCAACATTAGGTTTTGCTGACACTTTTTATAAGTTCTACCACACCCAAATTTTTTTCTGCACTTTTAAGAAACTTAAGAAAAAATTGGGTCGTTGGCAAGTGTACATCACGTCAAATTAAGACTTTCTAAAATATATATCAAATGTTACATGTGCAATGATAAGAATCATGCATGAGGCTTTATAATCAAAGTTAGAGCTTGAATAATTGCATGAACATATGCTGTCTTTCTTGTATGATCTTACAGCTCAAAAATCTTGGGATCCTGGAGACACGCCAGCCAACGCAGCCTCGCTGGACTCAGGCTTCCTGTTTGGCAGTAGTTCCCGACCACGCCTAACCAGTGACTCCAGTGAGCCCGCACGCACACAGCCACACACAAAAGTCCTGGGGAGACCCAAAAGTGACCTCTGGGACATCAAGCAGAACTGCTTGAGGAGGAGATATTCCATCAACGGCCACATCTACAACAGCAGGGTTGGTTTTAGTGTATATGTATACATTGTAGAAGAAAAACCCAGCCTGTAGGAATTTATGTGCTGCTGGGAATTGGTTTGTACTCAGTTGTCATCTATTTGACAAGATAAACAGAGCTCGAAATTCATGTTGTAGTGTAGACATAGGTGCAGTGGTGTCAAAGGGAACATTTTTACCAGATTTAATTGGAATGTTCTAATTGCCTATGTATTTGTTGTCCCCCAGACTGCAGTGTTTACCCCTGCCCATGGTAGCATGACCAACGTCAGACTCAACAGTAGGATGACAACACCACAAGTTGTTGAACTGCTCCTCAGCAAGTTCAGAGTAAGACTTAGTTAACTTAATGATGTATGTAAAGGCTAGTGGTAGCTGCTACTACTAGTCTTGTTGCTGCCTGACTACCACATGCCATGCCTTGTTGCATTTCAATAAGCTTGCCTTTGTATAAGGGCTTGGTCATGTTCACTCATGAAACCTTTGGTCAAATTAACTTTTTTTTTTAAATTTTACATTGCCTTTCAGGTTGAGAATGATTCAGAGGACTTTGCTCTGTATGCTGTCCATGCAACTGGAGGTAAGTAAAATGTTTTGATAAAAAAGATGAATAGTTTTTTTTCCTCTGATTGATTTGAAGATGAGTTTTCCACTTCAAGTTGTTAACTAATAAGCCAAACCAATTTCATCACAGAGTTCCGAAGACTGAAGGACACAGACACCCCCCTTATTGAAAGAGTACTCCTGGGACCAAGTGAGGATGTAGCCAAGATATTTATCATGGAGAAATCTGCCGAGGAGGACATTCCTTTAGAGGTGGTGACTTAATTCTCAAGCAAGTCTTCATAGTGATTACCATTTTCTACATGCATATGCACATATGCCAAACAATTTTCTACATGTATATGCCAAACAACAAGGGCTGTGCCCTAATTATAATATGGTAACGTGTATAATTTACAGATTATTGGCCAAACTTGTTAGGTACAGGTACATTGTAGTACAGGTCAGGGTCTGTTCCTAAACCTGTATACCTGTACTACGTAAAATTTGTTCAGGTACACAGCTCTACAATCTAAACCTATGTAATTCTGTCTTCAGTCTAGTTTCATGTCTTGAACCTTTGAAGGAATGGAAAGGTAAGAACAGTTCAGGAAAGGAAACAGGACAAGACAGCAGTTATAAAATTCTCCTGCTCATAATTACATTTTATGTACATGTATCTGTGCTGTTTGTTCCGAGTCTTAGTATGTTGTGATCTTCTTTAGGTTGGGCAGTACATGAAGTTCCCTATTCCTGTTCTGGAAAGTATCCTGACAAAGTTTACTGAACAGGAGGAAAAAGAAATAGAGGACATCAGACAAAGGTAGGACTTTGGTTTACTGCACAACATAGGTGTTTAGAATGTAATCAACCATTGATCTGTGCCATCAACCATTGATGGACTGTTAGACTGTATTGACAATGACTTGTGGGTGTAGTTCAGAATAGCACAGATAGGGGGAGCCCATAGCAAGATGCAAAATTCAAAGTGCTCTGTAAGTAAATGTCTGCAATGAGGGGCAATGTACTACCTGTGTTCACTTTTCATCACAGTGGTATTATACATTGTATATTTCAATCCTGTTTGTAATGAAGTGAAATATGACTTATGAGATGATTTTTAATGGTTATGACTTTTCCTGTATTCTGATATGATTTTACTGACTGCAGTTTCATGTTCTGTGCATATGTAGATATGAGGCAGAGAAGAAGCGGCTGAGAAGATACATGACTGTCATGAGTACAGCTGTCTAGCCCAACCCTCAGCAGTAGAAAGCAGTAAGCTGTGTACAAGTGTCTGTCTCACAGCACCACTAACTCTTATGGCAACAAACTTTAGTTTGGTTATCACAATATCTTATTCCATCAGAACCTTTAGCATGCTACTGGCCACATTTGTTGCCCATACTGTGGAGAGGTTTAATTGCCCAAGTTGGCTGCCAACTTTGGAGTGGCAAGAGACCAAAAATGAAGTTAGCATGCCAAAGCTTAACCTTCATTTACTTGAAGCTCACAAGTAACAATTTGAAAGCACTTTAACATATTGTCACACTATGTTTGTTATATTCACTCTTGTTGTAACTGTTGTAGTCCTGTTAAATGTTCAAGTTCGAGTTACACATACTAGTTAATTGCTGTGAAGCCCTTTCAGCAAATGTGCCCTTTTCGGATATGCAATAAGGACATGAACAAATATTGGTACAATAGATCAATCACAATAAAGGCTCCGCATCATCTGTTTGTAAATGTATATTATGTTATGTGTTTTTTTAATTATGTCAACAAAGCCAATACTAGGACTGAGCAAATTTTCAGAGATGCAATGGCATAATAATGGCAAGAATCTGCACACATACATGTACTGTATGAATCCAGATGTACACTGAGGTTAATGTAGGTGTATGCTGATACAATACAATACGAAATGTTAGAAAATAAAAGTAGGGGACATCATGAAGACTTAATTGCCCCCAAAGATTATATCTGACAAACTAAATAAAGACATCAAATGTTTAGGGGAAAAAGTCCTATACATTTACGGTTCAAGACACTTTTTGTTGATTTTAAAGGTGTATTATTCACTGATTTTGTTTATACTTTGTTCATTTTCAGAAATAACGATTCTAAATTTTAATATATATATATATGGCATCAAACACAAAGCCTTAAAGATTATTTCTATTTTTATTTTTGTTTCATTGTTTCTAAATGAATTTTAGGTGCTGGAAGCTGGATTCTGGCAAGGAAATTTAAACAAAGGAAAATTTGCTATTGGTGAATGTGATAGGTTAGGTTCTTAACTAATTTATTATTAAAAGAATGATACCCCATACGTGCATTTATTTCCTTTGAGTGTGAGATATAGCTATGTTGTAGACTGTTGTGCAATGACACCATATAAATCACACAATTCTTAATGGATTGAATAGCTAAATCAAGTTTATCTTTTTTTTTCTTTTATATGAAGACATTTTACTTCTAACCATAGTTTCTTATATACAATGTACTAAATCAATTATATTCCCTGGCAGTATTTTTCTAAACTAGTCCTCTCCATTTACTTGTATATGTGAGAATGATAAGATACACAGTCATGTCTTTACTACAGACATCGAAAAGTAAACATTGAAAAACCACAACAGTGAGTTCTTGTGATGTCTTCCTTTTGTTTATTGATGATAAATGATGGAACTATACAGATAAGTACCAATAAACCAGTGTGCACAAGACAAGAACAGAGTTTTCTGTGTAACAATACATGTATGTAATAGCTTTACAGTTCCACATAGAAGTTACACAACAGAGTGTTTTTTTGTTGTTGAAACGATGCGAGGAACATGTGCAATATGTAGTAGTCAGTGGGTAACTGACATTAAGTTGTTGACTACTAACAGGACCTTTTTATCCTTCATCCCCTGGTCTTTTGTGAATACAATACCTCTGCTGTTTTTGTGGCTGATTATACTAGTGCTGCCTTTTCCCTGAGACTCTTAGTGCACGAAATGTTGAGAGGATGTCCTAAAGCATCACCAGCTATTGTCTGATATTTCAGTGAGCATGCATATAGTCCTTTTTGGGAGATTTTACTGACTAGCAGCCAGTGTAACTTTCTTTTATTGGATGTGATTACCCAAATGTCAGATTACACGTATGGGCCCATAGAGCGCCAGATTTACTAATGAACAGCCATAATGGACTGCAGCTGTACTGTGCCTGTGGGTAGTACATGACATTTGTAGTACAGTAGGAACAGCTTTCCCAGCAAGTTATTGCTGGTAGACACAAACCTATAGTAACTGCTTGACTTCAACAACATACGTAATGCTTCAGTATGTCTGTTTTACATTGCCTTGGGAGCTGCAATAGAAAGAGGGAAGTTTTGCAACATATTGTTGGTATTAGATATCAAAATATTTTGAGTTTGTTTTGTGTTTTTGTTTAGCTGAACCTAAAAGAAAATCTGTTGGATTTTTAAAAAGATAACCAGATACTACTGCTTTTGGACAAAGGTGTTTCTGGCTCTTATCTAAGGTCAGATGTGATCTTTAAAGATCTACTATTTGCTTCACTTGACAATTTTGTTTTGTAGCTGAGGCAGTCCCTAGAAAATTCCTGCATCATATATTGCCCCTCTGATCACATCTTTGGTATTCTAGCATTTTGCTCTTTTTCATCAGTCTTATGGCTAGGTTGTCTCCTCCTTTTCTATGAGTGTAATCACAGTCCAAAAGTTGTTTCTTTGTTGTTCATATGCCTATGATACAGCCACGTTACCTGGTACAACCTTCAAGGGGTATTACATGTATGTCACAGTCACTTTTGAATGAGGTTTATAGGGCCATATCATTGTACAGCAATAAAGAGATGAGGCTTGTAATGGTGTGCCACTAGAGGCATCTTCAAATACAAACCCCCATTTTTCCTCACAATAAAAATATCGCACCATGGATGGTGATTGCAAATATTCAGTAACTGATTTGCTAAAGAAACAAAAATAAAATAGACACAACAAAATCAGCTGATTCCGGAAATAAATAAATAGATTTAATAAAAATGCCCACTACACATCACAGTACATTAATATCTGCTATAGTAGCAGCTTATCAATTAAAATTTCCAAGAGTATTTATACCTCTAGAATGTGAATTATGACAAATAAACACAATAATTCAGAGGGAACTGATCCCAACTATCATTTTTATGGTAGAATTGACCAGCACCAAAAGGAAAGTACAAAGTCAATATGACCCAAACACACAAATTCTTATATAGACAGAAGCTGTACATGTCTGGTACCCTGATAGAAATTATACAAATCATGGTCTTCTGGAATTGCAACTATGCTATTACACTAACCTGTTTTCAATCAACATTACCTACTAGATGTACACAAATTCTCATTTCTCTATGTTGTAGCTGTTGCAGCATCCTCCACACAAGCAGGTATATTTTCTGTGTGTCATCCTGTGTACTGTATTGTACAGTTGAATGTCATGATATGCAACCACTAGTAATAGTTCCTCCAGTAGTCTAAGCACACAGTCAATTACTCAAAAATTAGTTTATACACGTAAGGAAAATCGCAAGTGGGCATGCTACCATAGATGTGGAAATGGATATTGTAAGTGTGTAGAAAAGTTGAGGTATGGATGTGTCGAGTGGTCCTGAGGCATCAAGATCCATACGTGGCTAATATGTTAACCGTTATCCTAGTTAAGCACCAAAAATAACCGTTTGCCTTTAGTACAAATTGGTCGTCTGATAGGGTAGCATGCCCACAAGGATTTCCAGGGTGATTACATCCACATCTCTGTTACTATAGATCCATTCATCACTCCTGGTACCATTATGTTCCTATCAAGCTCCACAGCACACAAAATCCACTAAACTTGGCAAAATGTCTCACACCATTAGATTTAGAGCTAATACAATTGAATATAGCAGTATAGATTTCTACTATTGACGACTAACAAAAAAGTCAAAGCAGCACAATTCTATCCAGCAACACTCGTATACACAATAGCTGTATTAATGATATACGACACAAATAATCTATCATAGCACAGGTATACATTTACAAGGGTTAAACAAAAAGTTGCAGCTACCTGTACAAGGTAATTTTAATTATTCTTTCTCAGACATGGTTCTCAAACTATGATTTTCCAATTTCTTTATCTTCCCAACAATAGAGTATTGAGAAGACTCAGTCAGTATTTCTTTCTTCATATTGATATTTTCCCATAGGTTGCTCTTTCCAACCTACTTAGAAATGTCTGAGAAAAAATTTAACAAACTGAGTAGCAGTTTATGCTACATGCGCACAACACATCACAACAGAAATAGAAAGCTCTTGCAGACAGTGCTTGATTCATCTCTTGATCACAATGTAAGAACTCTGTGTACATATTTACAAGCCACACCATATTCCTACTCCTTTCCAAAGTCAGTCATACACAGTGGTAGAAAAAATACACAAACCATGCATTTTAGAATACTACATACATTTGACATAATTTTTAACACACATCATAAAAGCTACATTCATTCACTACTATTATAGGTTGTACACACCCCTTGACCATATGCACAATTTGTACAGTTACACATTCAAGTAAAAGCAATTGGGTTGTATTCATTTGTCTCATTCTAAAATCTTGTTATACATGTTTAGCTATTGCGTTCTGGAAAGTTGTTCCCTGAATGTTATTGATGCTACTTCCATACTGCCTAAAACGACAGCGATCACCTTACGGAATTAGAAATGGAGCGTATCTGACACCATGCTCACCGCTACCTGTTAAGGGTAACTTCGTGCATAGCTCAAAGTATTCATGGTCTTTCCATTGTTTGAGCAAACGGTGTACTGCCAAGATCATGCTCCATTCTACACCATTAATCTGACTCAATGTAGCAGGTCCTAGTGTCTGTGATATGTCGAGTGGGAATGTACTGGTAATGTAAAATCACATGTAAACCTTAACTGACTAACATGTAAAGGTCTGGATATCACACGGTTATATAGAAAAGACACATATGGGAGAAAAGGATGGTCTTGTCGACTGCAACTGTTAGATTAATAAACTGTAGGTTTTAGCACCACCAGAACTTGAGTATGTCCTGAAATTGTGTAGCTGCATCATTGAGGAAAAACTGCCTGGAAACCAGGCAAGCAATTAACATTAAGTACACATTACTTAAACAATGACATATTCAGAAACTTCTGTGTTATAACTAGAATAAAGAATATCCAGCACCAGTTGTGAACATTGTGTACAAAACTGCATCACTATAATAGCAGTTCAGTTTGTTTCTGAATTCTGTAAACACACAGTATATATAATGGTGTTTATCTTAATAACAGCACAAAAACCAGTGTGCCGACAAAAATGCACAAAACCAGTGTGCCTATGAAACGCACAAAAACCAGTGTGCTAGGAATACACCAAGAACACTACAAACAGTAAAACTTTTGTACAGGTCATACACTCACAAGTACAGTCTTACCACTGTACTCATCACATATCAACGCACCCTGTAACAACAAATATCTGTACAATAAACACTAATGTCACCAATTCACAGATCATTTAGAAACACATGTATATCTCAAAATTAACTACTTTACACCCAACCACCTTGTTGGGTACCAAACTGTGTTGTAACTGTTGAAAGCACCTGTGTAGTCAAGAGTAGGGTCTGATGTAGAAAATGGTTAAAAACATGTCCCAAAGGGTACCTACTGGCACATGCCTTGCACCAGTAAAAGATTAACAAATTTGAACATGAACAACTATTTCCTCCACAACAATAATCCTTCAACATGTTGAAATCTTGGGATAAAACGTAAAATTCTTGTCATTTAAAGTTAAAATTTTCCTTAACACTTGTGCTAGCACCCTCTTTCAACTGTCTGTTAAGCAATGCACATGTGATGCACCAGCAGGTACCCTATGTAATGTCTTTGCTTACCCAACTGGGTAGGTGGGATAGGAACCTCCTTGTATCCCTTTCATAGCGTGATCTATACTCACTCTGAGGTAGGTGGCGGATTTGAAGGCCATTGGCAATCTGGTAAAGAGTCATCTGCAGTGCCGAAGAGGACAATGTGTCGCATGTTTCAAGCCAGATATAGCATCATGATAAAATAGATCTTTTGCTTCATACCTTTTTGCAAGGTAACAAACTGGCCATTTTCATAACACACAAAAGACTGATTTGATTTTCAGTTGTCCCTCTTTTGCTACTAGAGAGTTTCCCACAAAATGTTGAGTGTAGCAGCTGATTGTATCTAGTTCTTCATAGCACCACTTCCTTACCTTGTCAAGGTGGGAGGCATGCACTTTGTGGGAAACGGGCAGTAGCAGCACTGTGACTCGTCGTACAGCTAAGCAAGAGAAAGAGGAGCCACCTTTCACACCCACTTCTGGTAGGGCCCTGTCACTTGAGGAACCGCTACTGACCAGAGTGTAACCACAGTGTCTGTAGTCATTGTCAGAGCATTGTTGATTGCTGGTTTGGTAGGGCCGGTCTTCTCGGCAACCTTCTTCGTGGATTCTTCAGCAACTGTTTCCTTGACAACACTACTTTCCACCTTGCGCCCTCCTTCGGCGAGTTTCCGTGCCTCCTCCTGCTCTGCTGCCTTGGCCGCCATCTTCTGCTCGTACTCTGCAAAGCCGTGCCTGGAGTAGTTCATGTTCTTGTGCTGATAAAACACGAGGCTGATTCTTGTCGGGCAGGCACGGTTCGGCTTTTTTATCGCTGTAGTTGCATGGAGCTCACGCTTCGCACATTCAATAAGCACAGAGCCATGGGACAGAGCAATTGCCACCCCACCGATGTCCTCGTCCTGGAAACAAACCTCACTGTCTGACCAAACCTCGTCATCCTCCTTCCTATGTAAGGCATATGGGGGAGGTAAGTGATCTGTGAGATCTGGGTCACACACCATAGGCTCCTGTTTGATTCGAACCACCCCATCTTTGTCAGGCTTCATGGCTGCATTCAGCTTCTGGAGAAGCTGGGATCTCAGACCATTCAAGGCCGGGGGATAAGCAGCATTGCCAAGGATGTCGTTCTCTTCAATTCGAGGCGGCTGAACCTGGACTGGGTTGGGTCGAGACAGATTGAGTGGCGTTGGGTTTCTATCTGGTTGGTGAGAATTTGGCTGTTGGGGTTCAAAAGCATATGGGTCATCAACTGTCAGAGGTGGCTGCTTTGCCGGGAACTGTAGCGGCATGGGGAGGTTGGCAGCAACATTGGGGGCAAGAGGTTGCTGTACAGGGACATGAGATTTTCTGGAAGGTGGCCTTTGTCTGTGGGGGTCTGGGGTCTATAGGTGTTCTTGGCAATATCTGTGAAGCGACGACCAGCTAGACCTTCTTGGAACATGCTCTGGTCTCTTACCTCTTTGGACAGAGTTAAACCAGAGTCTCGGAAAATGGACTGAATGCTTGGAAGTTGGTAATGTGACTGCTGATGAACCTGGGGACTATGGGGACCGTTGAGAGGTTTTGTACTTTGGGGTCTGCTTTGAGCTTGGACATCCTGTGAGTTGACCCGAGGAAACTGAACACTAGGAACGTGCTTCTCACTGCTAATGTGGGGATTGAAGGGACTGTGTACCTGGCCATTCATAGAAGGAGGAGGAGGAGGGTTGGTCTGACGAATCTGGTTAGTTTTGTCTCCATGTGGGTAGGGTGGAGGTGGAGGTGGGGTAGGCAGTCCATACCCCATTGGGAGAACACCGGTGGGGGCAATGTGCTTTGGAGCTGACTCTTTGCCTGGTGCATACTGAAGGTGATCTCCTTGTAATGGTGTTTCCTTGCTGTTTGCATTGCTTGGAGGTAGATTGGCTTGGAAGGCCCCTTGGTAGCTTTGGGGTGTTGGAGCTGGTGTATGAGGTCCTGGTAAAGGTGTCGCTTCACGAGATGCATCTGGTGTAAGTTGCTGCTGCATCTGTATGCCATTTTGCTCAACATTGGGCCTGCTCCGCTGGAACATGTCCAAACCTGCAAACAGTTTTTCATAACGTGCATTCTCAAACGGATCTTGCCACGTCTGCGCTGAATGTGATTGGTTCACCACTTGGTTGAATGGTCCAACTGCCGGTTGGATCAACTGGAATGGATGCTGAGCGTGAAAGGGGTTGAATGGAAACCAGTGTTGTTGAAGACCGCCTAGACCATTATTCACAATCGGCCGCAGCCCAATCTCTGTTTGCCAACTGGGAATGCCAGGGTCCTTGGCAGTTTTGGGATTTCCCGAAGACTGTTGAACGGCAGCATCCCTGGGCACGTTCTCTGCCCATGCCTTCATGAAGGGGTTGTCTTCCTGTGGATGATGGTGGGCCACCTGTTTTGCAGCAGGTCCATCGCATGACGCTGAAGCAGGTCTCTTCACGGCTTCATGTCTTGCGAATGGATTAACAGCCTCCATATTTCCATGCAGCGGTTGTCTTTGAGTCATCCGGTCTGGCTCTTTCGTCGCAGGCTTCTTTGTTGTTGGAAAGAACGGCTCGTTGTGCATGGGATGAGAAAAGGGTCGAGACTTGTCCATGGCCTGGGGGTTTCCAGCTTGATTGTGGGTAAACAGTTTCCTGTTTACTGCTGGAGGATCCCTCATGGCCCCATTCACCCCCGCTGCCATCTGTTCCATACTGTGGTTGAACGCTGGTGAAGCAGTATGCTGAGATGGGTGGGGAATGATCTCAGGAACCTTTGGTTCGACCAGCTTCTCCTTCGACTTCTCAGTGGCAGGGGACTCAGTGTTGTTATTGTTATTGCTGGAAGATGCACTGTTGTCCTTCTGCTTTCTTCCCTTCTTAGGGGTCTTCGGCTTTGATGAGATGCGAATCTGGTGTGTATAGCTTGTGAGCATTTCTAGTGCCCCAGTGCGAATCTTTTCCTCCTGGCCTTCTTCACTGCCAAACTCGTCAGTTGGGGCCATCTTGTAAAGGGGCAAGACATGGAGTTGTTCATCCTCTGGTGGTGGCCCAAGTTTCCGATTTTCTGGACAAGTCAGTGTGCACACCTGTAAATGGTATAGAAACTAAGTTAATCCAACTAAATGGAGGCAAAAGTGCTGTATTTTAAATCAGGCATATTCGTGCTGTCATGAATTCATGGTGGAGGGGTCACTGAAAATTGCAAAGATAAAATGACTGCAAAGCTTCACAATTTACAATATGCACTTTAACTCTGGTATGTTTGACAACTAATCTAATTAATCATTTTACAATGAGATGGTCGTAATAACAGGGCATAGCAGTAAACACCGGACTATGAAACAAAGTAGTAAACTTACAATTGTGCTGCCATTGTTCATGTTGTGTTGATCCCGATGAGCATGGGCACAGAAGTCAACGCAGGCTGTTACACCAGAAAATGGCCTGTTGTTCTCTGGGCCGAACCCTAATCTGCAGTCAGGGGCCACTTCTGAATACTCCGTCTGCAGAACACGAAGCTTTGGTCAGTTCCTTGTCATCTCATATGTCTCATGTTTTGAAAAACAATTATTTTTATCTGTACTTATCATTTACATACAGTGCAACACACCAACTCTGTAAGCATCTTTCACAGTTTCAGTATCAATGCTTGCCACGCTCCATATCTAGTTCTACATGTTGTTTGCAGCTATTTGGCAACTTTATTTCTGCAGTAATTTGTTAAAGGTTGAAGGAAGCCTGTGGTGATGAGTGCTGTGGTGTGGAGTCACTAACCTGATTTTTGAAAGCATCCGGAGCCAGCTGCTTGTACACAGGACCAACTTCACTGGCCAGCCTCTGGAAATGGTCTTCAATGATTGCCTCCTGAAATAACAAGAAATCAGAGATGTCAGACTTCTGAGTGTACTGGAGGGTCCTTCGTGCCTTCCTGACAATATTAGAATTATTAAGTTACTATAGTTGCACTTTGGTGTGAATTATTTTAATAGTGAGTATGTTTCCACATAATTACCTCTCTTGCTTTCATTTCCTTGTTGAGATATTTCTGTAAGCAAGAGGCAGGTCTGTTAATATCATGATACATCCAATATGTTTCAATCATTCAACAGTATGTTGGCAGAAAACACCTTTCCATGTAATTGGAGGGTTTTCTTTGACAAGTTGTTTAGGTGAATTAGGAAGCACTTTGTAAGGTCATGTCTGATAGGACTCTGGGTTCCAAAGAGGTTAGTTGAACAGGGTCATCCCACAATTATAGGTTCTCCGAGAGACAGTCACAAACACACTGTGGTTTAGTCGATGCATCCTTCATATCACACCATCACCAACACATCATACATGTGACACACAGAAATAACATACACCTGTAATGAATACAGTCTAAAAGGAAGTCTTGCGTACCTCTGAGGGGTCTTCCAGTTTGAACTTCTTGGGGACCCTACTTCTGGCAAACTTGCAGCCGTTGTAGTACATGCTCCAGGAACAGCCAAATGAGAAGGATGCACCACAGTTGTTGTCATCTATTCCTTGACATGCACAGGTTTTGCTAGAAAAGAAATCACATATAATCCTTGAAATTTCAAAGTGTACATTATAAGAACTGTCACACTGTTGTTACTTAAGTTCTGGGTAAAAAAAGGATTGTTCTTTCTTCTGTCGACTGTCAAGAGTATAGTTAGTTTCCTTGATTAAAATTTTTTTTCAGTTCCTTTCTATCCTCCTTGGTCCATTTCTTCTCATTCTTACTATACTCATACTTACACCTAACTATAAAAGGTCCTGTAGTACGACATACTTTTCATTAACCCCACATGTTCTTGTGGTTGGCAGTAATGAGAATAGTTTGTCTTCTTGATTCATTTTTTTTTCGGTTTTACAACCTTTCTATTTTCCATGCAGGTCCATTTCTTACAATTCTTACACCTCAGTGCAAAGTTTATCTCTAGCCACTAGACATAAAGTACAGCTAACTAAGGTCCTGTAGTATGACATACTTTTCATTAACCCCACATCTCCTTGTGGTTGGCAGTCCAGCCTTGGAAAGTGTGCCTGACAGATAGTCGTACAGTTCGTCGGCCCTGGCTCTCTGGATGCCCTCCCATGCGACGATGCAGATGATGATGTAACTGCTGTTACAGTGGTGACCCGGCCGCTGCCGGACTAGTGTCAGCACCTTTTCCTCCTCACTACTTCTTCGTACAATCTGCACAACAGACAAAAACAAAAGATTTAACAATATCTAAGACAATTCAAACTCTACCACTGGATAAATAATGGAGATAACTTCCGGATCCGAACGTTATTCAAAGGATCTGCACACAATGACAATAGATTTAAAAAAATGAAAACCAGTATCAAAAGTGGTGATATGATCAACTTACCCATTTTGCAATGGGACATCCCTGTGAGCTCTTGCCTTCTTTTCCCGTGTAGATGATCTAAAGCAGAAGGCAAGACGTTAGCTGCCATTTCTTCAACTTACTTACTTTTAAGAGTTGCATAAAAATTAACAAACTGGTATTTAATACTCCAAATCCCATACTTTTCTCCAGACAATATTCTAAAGAAAATTCTTAAGCCTCTTCGTAATAGCGTACTGTAAGTTAAAATGATATTCTCAGCACCGATGATTCTTTTTACATGTACACATGATGAATTGCTTACCTTTTCTATCCGTAGTGCTTTTCCTGATTGGCCAAACCTATAGAAAGATCAAAACCACTGATTAAGATCGTGAAAAAAAAGAGAGATACTGGCAGCCGCTATAGTTAATTCTGCAAGATGGCAATCAATTATTGTAAGTCACAAAACTTAAAGCATCAGCATAGAATTGTAATTTGAGTGCTACAATTTGGTAGTTGACAATACGAAGAACCATTCCTGAGTTTTATAAGCGTCGGTTTATCCAATCTTGACGTCTGAATCCATTCGCAGCATTCAACCAAAATTATGGGCTACTTACGCTAAAAGCTACTTAAGACAGGATGCATCTTATTAAGACTCTGACAAGACAGCATAGCTTAATGTAATTGTAAATGCACATATTGATTGGAGGAACTGCCTGCTACTAATGCAGTCTTCACATCCATTTGTTTTATCTGTGGTCAGCTCAAATGGATTAACTCAGGGCAGAGGTCAGCCCATTTTACCTGCTTTCTGTTGCTCTACATTTGTGAAGAGTTGTTACAATCATCCCCAAGGGATGTTGGAAACAGGTGAACATGGCCAGCAAGACTCTTCTTTTTTTCCATAAGGGACTGGTCACATTTGTCATACAATCATTGTGCAATCCAAAACTGAAGGCGCACTTGAGAAGATTCAGCTTACAGAGAAGGTTGTCTTTGATCCTTGTTGGCAATTGGTTTTGTCACAGCCAGCTTAACATTTTTATGACATCAAAATCATTTGATGATCTACGACGAATGTGACCACACCATAAGATGTAAGGTTATCTTGACAAGTTGGTGACAGTGAACAGGTTACAAACAGTTATATCCTGTTACCTTCTTTCCATTAGCTCCCTGATAGCCTGTATGGAGGGTCCTGCACCGAGGTGGGTGTAGTATGGGCCCTCAGCCTTCTCACTTATGAAATCTGTTTAATGGTGCAAACAGATTATGTAAGTGTTAGTCCTCTATGTAAAGTACTGTTCAGCATATACAATGCAGCACACCATGCTCATGTAAGGGTGTTCTGCTCCAAATGTAAAAGATCTGTTTGCAAAAGGGGAAGAGGAAACAAGACAGCAAACGTTACCAGATGTCTAACCATAAACAACTCACAAGCTTTTAAATAAACAGCCTGAAGTAAGTGGAAAGCTTGCTTGTTGTACTGGAAGAAGGCATAAAATTTTTACAACAAAATTAAACTGCACTGCATGAAGTTTTTGATGACTCCCCTTTATAATTGGCCAGTTACACTGTAAGGGCTTACAATATTCATAGATATCTGGATATCTCATTGAGTACTGTCGGGTTATTCTCTTGTACATGTGATCGTGATCAGCTTATACTACTTAAAGGGAAAGATGTTTTACTGACCAACACAGTTACACGTGGGCAGCTCAAACTTGCAGTCAGACTTCACAGTGTGTGCTCCAGCTGACTTGTGAGGGGTTTTCTGAGGTGTGACAGGTGTACTCTGTGGTGTTCTGGGAGTATCTTGAGACGCCCGTGGTGTGGTTGGTGTTGATTGTGGGGTTGTCGGTGGCTGGTGGGATGGTCCTGGTTCTGATGGAGGAATGTAAGGCAGGTTGTCAAACATCTGCTGCAGTTGTCTGGTTGACATCAGTGGGTTGTCCAGAGTCTTAGTTCTACCAGCTATGCCTGATGCCGCTCCACCTTTCCCCGACTTCTCGGGTGTTCCAGGTGGAACGGACAATCCTGGCATACACGTACCAGGTGCTTCCAACAATCTGGACAACCCAGGTGCTCTGTGGGCCTCCAGTGCATCTGAAGTGCCAGATTTTCCAGGTGCGTCTGATGCAGGAAGCGTTCGTGATTTTGCAGGCATATCTGACTTTCCTGCTTTTCTGGGTGTATCCGTTTTTTCAAGCGGTATTCCAAACATTTCTACCCTTCCAGGTGTTCCCGACTTGTTCAGGGGAGCTCCATGGTCTGGGTGCACTTTGGAAATTGTTCGTGGTTTTGCGGATTCCAATGTTCCAGGCCACTCGAATGGCGGTGGAGCTTTAAGTACCTCCTGCACATGAAAGGAGCCTGACGGAGCGAAGGCTCTTGCAGCATCAGGTGTTCTATGTGGAAGTGTTGTGTTTAAAGACTGGCCTTGACTACCGTGATACAGTTGAGGACCCAGAACATCTTTAAAAGAATGAGGTGGTGCTTTCTTTTGGGTGTCTCTTGTCTCGTGAGCAGGTAGGGTTGTTTTTGCTGTTTGTGATGGCATTGCTGATAGGGAGACTGCCTGTTTATCATGCTTTTGAACCTGTTGTTGTTGAAACTCTTCCTTTTGGGCTTTTTCCGACATTCTAGATGTTAATGCGTGTAGAAGCATAATTCCTGAGGCAGCTTGCTCAACAGCATTGGGTTGCCTTCCTTCATCCATTTCTGATTGTGAGGCTGATACTGTGTGCAAGTCTGCTGCCTCCTGGACTAATGCGCCTTCAGCTGACATTTTCATAAACTTGGGGGCATGTGAATTTCTGCTTTCCTGTGGTGGGTTACTCCGAACATCAGCCAATCCACTGTGACTCATCCTCCTTTCCCCTGCATGCACCTCCTCTCTTGCATAGTTGGGACTGTGGCAGGGTTCAAAGGAGGAAGGAACAGAGTGGTTTAGCATCTTGAACTTCTTGGCAGGCTGGTTTCTCTGCAGGAGTTCTTGGTCATACTGGAATTCCCCATTGGGGTAGAAGGCTGGGTGGTGGGGTGTGAGGTGGTTTGTCTTGATTTGGTCCACGAAAGGTGACGGGAGCCCCTGTCCTGGTAACTCAGCTGTCCAGTCCTGCAGATGACACAGGAAAATGCAAGATGAGTCAGAGAGAAAGCTTAAAGGTCTTAAATAGTGAATAGGTTTCAGAGACAATTGAGAAAGCCATGCCTGTGTCAGAAAGCATACATGTAGCCTTTTTCTACAAGTGACATACATTTTTCTGCATACCTAACAATCAAAATTATCTGTATCACTTTCATAATCAATGATCTAAAAAAAAACATTAGGACAACCTGAAATCAAGGGAACTAGAATTGCATTAACAGATATGATGAAGACATACAATGTAAGATGTACGAGGCCTCATCTATGAAATTAGGTCAGGTTCTGTAGGCTATATGCACAAGTTGATCAATTTTATTGATTTGTCATCTTGGTGATGGAAACTAATGCCTAAGCACCCCATGCTCATAATTGCCAGGGAGCAAGCCATCCTTAGATATATTTCTCATAGTCTAACATAAAGGAGACTAGTATCCGTATCAATGCAGTCACATTGTCGTACAATTTTTAATTTTATGTTATTGAATTTTTGAGCCAACTGTTAAGCATTATCTATGACAGCCTTTTCCATTAAAAAACAGTCAATTTTGTACGCCATATGCACAACTATCCACCTATTCCACCCAGGATTTTGAGCTTTGGATGGTGATCTGGTCCAAATAAGATTAGATTCTGACTATGGCTATAATCCTCACCAAATCTCTACATGATTCCTACCTACAAAAGATTACAAGAAACCCAGAACAGAAATATAAAACAATATGTCCAGATGCATAATGCATGTACAAGAAAATAGTGTTGCACATACAATGTTGTTCATACAGCTGATGTCAACCCAACTGATGTCAACCAAATAAAAGGCAAACTACATGTGCAGGCACCATCCTGCTGCTGTGCTTTCAATTAGTGGCTGGTATAATGCCACCTGCAGGCCAAAGGGTTGGGACCCTAGTCTGCCCTTCCCCACCTCATTAGGGATATGTCTGCTACTGCCACACGATTATGATGAGGGCTTGCATGCTGTTTTCCACCAGGCATAGACACCAATTTCAATTCAACGTTATGTCAGTGTAGCCACCCCACTCTAAGCTTTGTCAGTGAATTATTCGTTCCTTTACGTCTAAGTAGCATGTTATTTGACATTCTGAATTCACCGTTAATCGTTACTGACAAATTGCTCGCATCACGAAGTTGAATGCCAGATTGCCCGAAAGTCATTTGGTATGTCCGTATTCACAGACTAGCCTTCCTAGACCCTAGACACCCTATGAATACAAAGGAACAATCCAATGAACTTGTTCCCAAAGCCTCATACGAGAACAATTTATTGTTAAAAGTATTGCCAGGATCCCCCCATACAGACCTTCTTATGATGGCTACTGCCTGGCTACAAGGTTACACCTACCATTGGGAATAGCATATAAATGGCAGACAGGGGCCAGACAATGTGCGCATACGTTATTATATGGAGTCCATTTCCTTTATCATATTACCTCCCCCATGGCACAAGCTCTATGGACAGTTGTGACAGTATGACTCGTTTTACAAGAACTGACAAGCAAAATCTTCTTTATTACATTACAATGAACCTGACCTATCAATAATGCCATGCCCTCATTAAAATTTACTCAAAAAATATGTTATATTCAGTATGCCAAGCTTGAAGACTGAAAGCAGGTGTTCTAAAACCTAAAATTTATGATTTGAATGAATCAAGCACATACACCTTCTATCCTTATCTAGCTGAGGAGAGACACATGTGCATAATCATTCTAAATCAAATGTCACATTGACTCAAAATTAATATAGATCACGCATAGATAGGCGCATTATTAGTGCAGTTATTGCAACAGTCAAATTCATGCAATTACTAAGTGTCTGCCAGCAAGACAAGGAAGGGGCCACAAAGAGGAAATCTGTTCCAAAATGAATTTAGGAGGGACTTAACAAAAATTCAAGATTAATCTAGTAGTCAACAATATCCCAAAAGCTTTGGTGTACCCATACAAATTTACAGAAAGAAGAGTAGAGAAAAGGGATACATATGCTCTGTATTGAAAGTTATTTGTTCAGAAATACACAGATATGGGTATTCATTATATGTAGGTCAAATTTTGTTGAAAACAAACAACATTTTTCTGTTGAAATGGGGATAAAAGACCTACAAATAAGCCCACATTTTCATATTCAGAAATACAGATATAGTGAGAGAAATCGGTGTGTTTTACCCTGTGGAGCCCCTCCTTTGATATATGTCCCCATATATAATGAGCCCTCAGGTATGAAAAATGATGTGCCCTGCTATCAGCTCCAGAGCACAACCCTCCTTGCCTTGCTGAATATGGAATATTCCCAGTTTGTGGAAAAGTCATCACAATTTTTCTCTTACGCACCTTTTCCACAAGAGTACCCCCAAAAGGGGCACACAAAGGCAGTGAAATAACTCACATGATGCAATATTTCCTTGCAGTGCATATTATTCATGCGGTCACCAATTAAACATGTTTTAGCAACATGAGTAGAATAATTTTTTTTATCAATTTCTATTGAAAAGTGTCTTTAGTAGTGTGGGTTAAGGTAGAAAACTGAAAAATGTAGAATTAGTTTGGCAGAGATCAATGTTTTTTTGCTGAAAATCCATTTATATTCACATAAATAATGCACAGGGGTCTGTCTGCATGCAATTTACTGCTCAAGACCTCTGCTCCAGGATAGCTCCCTCTGCTCCGATTTTACCCAAGATCCCAGCTAAACTTGAATGAAGAACGATATATACACGACGATGCTACTACGATGGTGCTCAGCCAGCGAACACCACGTGTCCGATCTCAACGCCACCCGCAAGAACGCTTCACTAACAGAATTTGAGCAGCGCGCCAAAAAGCCGAGGAAGGTCATAGGCTGAGTCTGACTTGGCGCGTGAAAGTGTTGGACTGCGATAAACACGTGTCCGCCGGTCTCTTAACAGCAACGGTAATTTCTCCTACGCGGTACAAAATAACAACAATCTGGCGATACAAGAAATTGGTACCTGAGCTGCTCTACAGCTCCCATCTGCACTGATACAGACAGCCTTAACAAATATTCCTAAACAACTGCTGCCTCCTGTGGTTTTAAACACAGCAAAACTATGAGGAAATATATCCAGTCTAGTACACTTAATGCCCACAGTTGTAAATGTTTGAAATTTAAATTTCAAAAGCCCAGGATGTCTTCTCCATGACACTATTCTGCTGGTAGAGCACCTTCCCTGAACAAAGAGGCATCATCATCATCTGGGTCACATGCAAATTTCATGCAGCAGAACCACCACAAAATCAGGGATGTACCTGAGAAATGTCAGCCCAGCAGACGTGTAAGGCGTGGCTCTCAGGAGGGAAGAAAGCAAGAGAGAAATAACAGCTGCTTGTGCTTGGAATCTACTGTGTTAGTCAGGTCGCCTGGCCTGCCAGCCTTTCATGGGTAGATAATGCTGATTTAATGTCACACAACCTCAAAGGAACCAATAATTGAGCCTGCAGGTCATGTGATCACAGATCGGTCCATCCTCGGCAGTGATGGGGGACAACAGGATCCTATGCCTTACGCAAGCTCCTACTTATGGAGATATATCCAAAGCACTAGAGCTATACACATGTATTATACCCTTACCATTTCAGAACTGCTCCATATATTTACATACTTTCAATTTTCATGTTAAAGGAAATCTTCTAGAGTGTCCAAATTTCATTTTGTCTGTTATAGATATAGAATGATTCAACCACAAAAAAAAATCATTTAAGACCTTAGGAGTTATCTTGCTCACACACAAAACAAATGCCAGTGGAAACAATATATTTCTTTCCTACAGTAAAACAATTCCCTTTAGAATGGAGGTACAGTTATGAAGTAAAGCTGTGTATATTACTTCTGTTACGAGACCATAATCAATACTGGCATATGTAATGTTACACGCTGATGATTTTTCTGGGACACGCCCATTTTTTTCAGGGTCTGCTATCCTTCCTCCTTTCAACTATACAATATGGTTCTAAAATCTATTTTTCCCTGAACACGTACTATTGATTTGGAAAGGACATTTCCCCTTTGTGGTAAAATAAAAACGACTTTCATAACCACACTGAATATTCGTTAGTTGCACAGATACATATATCTGGCTGACATTTTCAGCTAGCCTGAGGGCATAGCTTCAATATATGGTGAATAATAAGATAAATCTATATTAGTATAACTGTATAAGCAAAGCAAATTGCAGCCCACATCTGGATATATTGGAATGGGAAGCATTACAAAACTGGCCTACTGTTAAATTAATACAAAATCAAATTTCAGCAAATCTTAGCCCACATTAAGAAGAATAATTGTCATCTTACAATATTCTCAGCACACATCCAGATATAACGTAAAACAAAATGAATCAAGCAAAATTACTTGTCAGATGTTTCAGATAGCATCCGCTTTTTTTTCCTCAGTGAATTCAGTGACAATGAGAACTTCCTTGTACATTTCAACCACAATCAATTACATTAAATCGTGTTCCTTTTCAAAAGTGTATACAAATAAAAATCAAACTGCTTGTACTCTGGCATCTCCATAACACGATACTGGCAAGGAGTTTTTAAAAATCTATTAACCATGATATTCCCAGTTGAACAGGAATTCAGTACCGTCAAATAATTTTAAAAATATAGCCAATGCATAAGAAGAAACATGATCTGTAAGACAAGGATCGGTAGAAAAAGCATGATACAACGAGGAAGTCCGTTACTGAAACCACATGGTGAAATGTAAAAACCTCCAATGGCACAGGGCCAATGACGTCAATTACTTATTAATATCAACGGGGAAACCCCTTACTCATACCCGCTGCAACGCCATTCATTTGCGTACGGCCCTGCGGTGTGTACGAGACGGACAACCGTACCGTATCTTTGGCCGGGGCTGCCCAACAAATCGATCACAAATTGGGGCTACCGTAAGAAATGCTCATGCCCCATACTTGAAATACG